CGCCCATCCTGCCAGTTGTAGTTGAAGTAGATGGAGGCTTTCTCTGCAGTATAAACCACCACTCTGCGTGGCAGCAACTGAATGCCAAAACGCAACCGGTCCCTCCCGTCCTTGATACTAAAAAGAAATGCATTGTTTGCTCGCCAGGAGCTTAGGCTAACTATAACGGAGAACTCTTCGCCAAACTCTGAAGGGAATAGATTGGGCACTGGCGCCTCATAGAGGGAGTTTGAGTCGAGCAACACCCCATATCCAGAAAAGGGGCCATCGAAAGGTGAGGGAACATTTGCATAAGTGGGAGGCTGTGAGCTTGTCCTTTCGTAGGTATCGTCTGTGTGGCTTTGAGTTGTAAGCCCCAATCGATAAAGGATATCCACTCCTACAGGACAGAGAGAGAAATATTTATAAGATTAATATGCTGAGAATGAATTGCACAATTTTATGAAAATGTACAAATCGCAAAAATGTTTCAAAACGGTTTTAATACATTCAATTGCAGTTCAGTCAAAGCTGGCGGTCCAACACCAGGTTACATTGACATTTCAACTTAAATTCCTAATAAAAACCTTGTTTATTTCAAGAATTAAAACTGAAAAAAAAAACCTGCTGAGAATATATCTCTGATACAAGAAGAGTGGGGAGTTAACTTATTCAGCAGGTACTAAAAGCCTGCATTTTTACTTGCATCGAACTATTTTATCGGTAGGACTTTTACTGATCTATTGGCATCGGCATTTACAGAGCTTAAAAAAAATGTGTCATGTGACGCTAATAAAAAACTGAATTCACATTTTTAGACCCAAATTTTAGCCAGCAGTCTGGACTTAATTGAGCATAACATTCAACCACTAAAGTTAATTTTTCTGTTCTGGAATACAACTTAATAACTTTCACTTCGCATCCTGATGATTTGGTAACACTTTGCTTTAGTACTTTTTTCAGTTTTTTTGTAAAACTGTAAATTTGGAAGTTCATGGATAACAACAATTATATTTTAGCATTAAAAACACATTTTCAAGCTTGCAGTAGACAAACCATTACATAAAAAACATAAAGGAATTACCAAAACTTTTAATATAGGGCATCTGTGGCATAACCCTTAAATTGGATGGCGGGCTAAAAGTAAAGAAAAAAAACAGGATGATGAGTCTTTAACCACGTTATCAGTGCTGATTTAGTGTAATCTGACCACCAGAGGGCACTCTGCAACGTCCCTGTTGGTAGCTGATCTGAGCAGAGTTGGGCAGAGCGTGCACGAATAAAAGTTAACTTAACAAATGTTAATAAAACTTTTTTATGCTTTGTGTGTCAGTATATCGAAAAATCAGATTTATTATATCATCAAATATCGGTATCAGTTTTAAGTCCTATATCAGC